TTTTTTCACATAACTTCGTCATTTCTTTTCGGATCGTTTTTGATGACATAGAATAATTTTTAGAGCTCAAAAAACCGCGTTGATTGCCGCCAAGAATGTAATAATCGGTTGATTGGTTCGAGAGATATCCTCGACGAAACATTTTGAAATAAGGATTTTTTCAACATAACTCCGACATTTTTTGGAATAACTTTCAAACAGCTCTACCGATCGATTCCAAAAACTAATCAGCTCTTAACATAAAAAACCACGTCGATTGCGACCAAGCTGGTCAAAATCGGTTGATTCGTTCGAGAGATATCGTGAACGAAAGAAAACCGAAAAAAGTGTTTTTTTTTGGGATTACTCCGAAATTTTCGGTTCGATCAATTGAAACCTGAAAATCACTTATGAGGATGAGAAAACTGCGTCGAATGGCGCCAACTGCGTGAAAATTGGTTGATCCATTCAAAAGTTATTGCGGTTTGAAAATTCCAAAAATAGTGTTCTAGTTCTATGAAACTTCTATCAGACTTTTGAGCTGGGAGAGCTCAAATGCATAGAAATATTATTTCTTTGAACTCAGCGAGCTCAAAATATCACATAAATTGTTTTTTGAGCTTAAAAATCTCAAAAATGGCATAAGTACAATTTTAAGCGCCCAGGAATGGAATTAGCAGGAAGTTGCACGGATGGCCTTTAGGGTGAACCGTTTTTCTAATTATTTTTATACGCCTCTATGGATCGTGGGTGTCACAAGGCTGTATAATAATAATTAGGCTCTCCTTGAAGACTTTCCAAAGTTGAAAGAAAAATAAATAAATAACAAAATGCTGACATTAAAATCGTAAGACTTGCCTTTAATACCGAAATTATTTACACAGATTTCAACTTATTTAGCTAATTAATTAACGTAAAAAAATTAATCATAGAATCTTGCTTCCATGTGAGGTCCGTCGGGTCCATCATCTGTGAACGCTGAGCAAATAAGTTGAAATTAATATTTTAATAATTTATAAATATGAATTAGTAGCAAATAAATAAAATAAAACTCACAATGTTCGACTCCCATAAAAACAATGACCCATCCGCTACCGCCATTATTTGGACTTGTATGATAAGTAACCTTTACTTCATTCGACAATCCTTCGAATTTAGCAGGATTTTCCTAGAATTTATTACACAATTTTTAAAGTTCAATTTGTATATTAGATAACCAACTTTTTTTTGCACGACTCATGATGCGAAGCATCAGAGAGTGCTTTACGATCGAAAAATTTTTTTCGCCTCATTTTGGCAACTATTTTTATTATTATAGCTTTGTTAGTTCATAGAATCAAGATATTTTGCATACTATTGTCGAGATAATTTAATGAAAATTAATTCCATACTTTTCAATAATTGATTTAGTGCAATAGAAACGGAAAAAAATATCAAAATAAGTCAAAAAATTTTCCTGTCCGTCATGTATGAAACTCCGGAAACACTGTAACT